TTTTTTTTTTTTGTTTGTTCACAGAACAAGATTGCTGCTCGGTTGGGCCATATTCCAGCAGGTATACTCCAAAATTGAGTTTTCAGCCCAAAACTGGTATTTGCGCGGGCCAAAATTTAAGAAATGCAAAAGTTTAGCCGAAATTCATGACCACAAACCAGACGGACTGGAAATTTGTAAAGCCCAGTTTTTACAGCCCACTTGACCTCTCGGTTTGTGGCGTGGTGCTGTCAAGAGTGGACACTCTTGTGTTAGCCTGTTACTGGAATACTGTCATGTGGTATAACTCGTCCACATGTTATAATATGAGTGGATGATTATGTTAAAATTTCCCACTTTTAGGATACCTCGACACATTATACCATGCAACCATACTTTAGTACCACACTATAATTACTTGCGCCTAGTCTTCTCCATTTAAACCATCCAAATTTAATTTAAGTACTTTTATGAAGAGGTATTCTAAGGTTGGTTTTCTGACAATTGATGCATGTAAGGTTTACAATAGATCAATGGTCAAATTTCGTGAACAAACGACAATACTTTTTAGTTGAAAAGAACAGTTGTTTGCACTTCAGACCAGTGATCAGATACCCCTTCTTTACAAATAAAAAGAAACATGTAAATGTTTTTGGTCAGAAAACAAATGACTATACGATAACTATTTTAGAGCGCCAATAACAACTCTCTTATTTCATCATATAACTAAGGATATAAGGGTGTAGAATCTAACATGTAACATAGAGGTGTTATAATTTATAGACAACTTAATCTACTGTGCAGTCTGAGCTAGATAAACATGCATGGAAGTGAATTGTGAGAGAACTAGAATTAGAATTTACAGATTGGACTCAAATTGTCGAGCATGGTTTGAAATTTACATATACTTTGATCTTTGGTCTTTGATTTGATCTTTGCTATGCATCAAGAAATCAAAAAACTCGGACCAATAAGGACACAAAAGGCAATTGCCATGAAGTATTTGTGATATTTTCCTTGTAATTGCCATACATACATGCAATTTTCTTTTTTACAAATTTATTTTATTCAACGATGCGTGCGATGTCAAGGGACGTCGTACCATAAGCCATCACACATATACACATGATAAGGAATACATGCAACATAAAAACCAGCAAAAATATAACATCAAATGCATAAACCTTATAACAAACTTATGAATTTCTGCATCACTCTACCTTTTCTTATCATTGATCTGATCATTTGTACAGTCTCAATAAATAACTCCTTCCTCCTTGTGATTACAATGTCCGCAAGAACCACTCCCACAACCAACCCACTCCCGATTCCCGCGAAAACAAATTTCCAATCAAATCCAATTCTAGAGCCCGAATCGTCTTCTTCTCTGCTTGAAGGTGGCAGTTGAGGGGTCTCAGCATTTCCACATTTAGGCAGTGGATCCCCACACAAGCCGGGGTTTCCTTCATATGAAGAGCTTTTGAACAAAGTCACGATCACAAGGCACATATGAGACAAGGAGCTACCTTTGCCTCCACTGAATCATTTGATGCGTCACATACAAACTTATGAAAATTAATTTTAAAAAAATACTTAATTAATACTATTTAAACTAATTTGATCAAGTGGCAATTTTGTTTGTTTATTAAGGTGGGGAAGCCAATAGAAAAGGAACAACGACTTGGTGTTGAAATGTTTCTTTTATTATTTTAATTTCTTCAATGTCATTTTATTAGGTTGGGGTGGGTAAAAAACTTCAAACAAACAAATTCATGAGATTGTTTATTGTTTGGACAATGCCCAAGTTTTGGAATATGTTGGGAAATTTTTGTTTTTTTTAAGGGACCACAGCTAATATGAATTTACACCTAATTTATTGTTAATTACGAGGTAATCATAACACCGTCACATAATATTATCAATTCATGTGTTGAAATATGAGTGAATTCATAACGCTACGTGACAGCTGGAAGTTCTCCATAAAGGAAGTTATCAGAAATATCCACTAATACCAGAGTTTCCTTGCTTATGTTCCACACATCCAGTTTGGTACTTCGCCATGGATTTTGTTTCTTGACATTTGCAACCGCTCTAACTTTGTCTGATTTGTTAGGAAATATGGGAACTCTTTTAAATTGCATGTATTCAAATCCAGAACGGTGAACTGTTGAACAGTTACATCCATAATATTTGAAAATTGTTCAGTAACAAATTCCAAATTGTTACTACCCAATTCGAGATGGTAGAGATTTTGTGCCTTCTGAAACATTCGAAACTCCACTACACCGGTCAGGTGATTTGACTGTAGACAAAGGATCTCGAGATTGATGAGATTGGAAAATGAGGCTGGAATTGAACCATTCAAATCATTAAAAGCAAAACATAGGTACTCTAGTTTGCTAAAGTTACCTAGGCAAGATGGAATTGGACCAGTTAAATCACTCGTAGCAATCCTAAACACAGTCAATTGGGTAAGGTTTGCCAAAGAATCAGGAATTGGACCTCCAAAGTTGCTTGCTGAAATGTCTAGATAAGTGAGCTGTCTAAGATTACCGAGTGCAGATGGAACCAACGCTTTTGTAAAATTGCTGAATGAATTAAGCTTTTCAATCGAAGAAGGTATTGTTTCGTAAACCCAACTTTCAGTATGATGAGACTACTTTGATTAAATTCAGGAAAATATTCAGTGAGATCTTGATTGTATCTCACACTAAGAACTTTTAAGTTCTGTAGATTGAAGATTCTCAATGGGAATTCGCCAAACAGATCACAGTTCCTGAGTGCAATCGATGTCAAAAATGATAAATTTGTCAAGGAGTCGGGTATGGTCGAGGATATGTTAATGACTTGAAGAGAAAGAGTTTCTAGACTAGTTAAGTTTTGAACTAGACTTCTCATATCGGATGGTTGAAGTTTCAACAATCCATGAGGATCATAAGAAGGTCCATCAAAATTGCAACACAGATCAAGGTATGTCAACTTGGATAAGTGTGAGATTTCAGATGGGACTTGACCAGAAAAGACAAAGAAAGAGAGGTCAATATGAGTGAGGCTTGGAAAGTTTCTTATGCTGGATGGAATTTGAGAGTAATTGAAGTTATTGTTAGAGAGGCTTAACCTTTGAAGATGCACTAGGCTAAACAGGCTACTATTGGAGTTGAAAGAGCCGTAGAGATAACTGCTGCTGAGATTAGGGCCAATAACATGACCCGTCGTCACACTCCGCGCCGTCCCACGAGCAGCAACTGCTATTTCCTCCTCCAGTTGGTTTCCATGATGAAACCTTTGGATAAGCACCTTTAGAACGTGAAGCAAATTCTTTTGTCCTCTTGAGAGTTCACATTTAAGGGCTTGTCCCTTCATCATTGATTGTTTTGCTTTTGGTCGGAAATTTGCTGTAAGGAAGACTTCCTGAGGAGCTTGGCACTTTAAATAATAGTAAATAAAAGAAACAAAACATCTGTTTGTTTTCTCTTCCCTCTGGGTTTCTTTACCCTCTGTTTGGATGAGGTTTGAAATTTACTTAAAAAGTCAGGAGTTTAAAAGGAGAAATTGACAAATTCCTTGTTTAAAGGAGAAATTGACAATCTTAATTGAATACACCCCCCTTAAACTCGGAATTTATTAAATGAAGTGTATAAAAAAATCATGGAAATTGGGGCATCAAATTTCCGAGTTTAATTTTCACTAAAATAGGAGTCATTTCACAATTTTCATAGTGCAATTTACAAAATACAACATATATAAATCCAAACACTGAAATCTTCAATTGCCAGAAATTAAAATGATGGAAAACTAAATTACATCATTTTAGAATTCTATGTAATTTTCAATTCTTCATCCAAACGAAATGAAATCAGATTTTGACGAAAAAAAAGACATTGTAATATACTCTATTTTTATATCATATTCGAAAAGCGCGGAAGTGTGATAAAAAGAACAAATTCTTTGATTGGTCATATATTCTAAAAGCAAAAGCATTGTAATATAAGAAAGAAAGAACAGTAGTACGTAGCTATGGAAGAAAGAACAGTACGTAGCTATGGGAATATCTTGATGTACACCACGTCAATGAATGTATATTTCAGTGACCACTCAAATATAGCAATTAAGCCCTACAAATCTAACACTAATAAGAAAAATAGACGCACTATTATTACATTTTGGGTTGATTACAAATCTCTTGTAGAAACAAAAGCGCCCTTACATTACATGTTA